CTCTTTAGACGGGAGAGTCTGGGAGCCTGGAGGCCGATGTGGAAAGGGGGCAGGACAGCGAGCTGGTCAGAGAATGCCAGTCTGTGGTGTTCACTGTTGCCTCAGATGTTGGTAATCTCAATCTCCACAAAAAATCAAATGGGAAAGGTGATTGCTACTCATTCCAACTTTAAGGGGGAGTGAGATGCAGGGGAAAGGTGGTGAAAATAAAGGCCTGGCATCATTTGGGAGATGCCACGGTCCTCGCTGATGAGGTGGCAGAAGGGCTGTTCTCCTGTGCGTTGACTGGAGGGCCCTGGGAATACTCACCTACCTCAGACCCAGGAACTGTGGGGCCAGGACACCGTCTTTAGTCCTGGCTGGGCCGGATGGGGTGGCGGTGTGCTGCTTCATGGGTGTGTTGGGGGGGATGGTGAGGGAGGGAAAAGCTTCACAATCAGCAGGACGTGTTGCAGGCTCCTGGGTGGTTCAGGGCCAGTCCTGCCTGCAGAATGCCTCCACCACCTGGCGACTCTCACTGGGGCGGGGGTCTCCTGCGTGGCTCTGCAGCAGAGACTTGGTGCCTGGCAGCTCCCTCCCTGGCATCATACCACCCTCTGCAGACAACTGTGGGCAGGGGCTGTAGGGACAGCCTGGGCAAGTGGAGGGCGTCACGTGTGCTCAGCACACACCTCGCCTCACTCGAGCCCTCCTGGGGCAGTGTGGGCAGCCCAACAGGTGTTACCTCTTCCTCACAGGTGAGGAACCTGGGGTCAGGATCACAGAGCATTCTTTGCTCTGACTGGCTGGAGTCTTTTGAAGCCTGTATTTCATTTTTGATATGCTTTATTTTTGTTAAATTTCACTTTATTCATTCTTTTAATAGAAAAAAATTTTAATAGGCAATTAAACATTGCGCATGATACCATGCTTGAACTTTACACTGTTTGCTCTTCTTTTTCTTTTTAATTCCTGAAGTGCTAGGCCAGGGTGGCAGTGGTGTCCCCATTTGGAATATGTGGACGGGGACACCCAGAGAGCAGAGGCAGCTCACCCACCAAGGATGGGACTGGCCCTGGACCCCCGGGTTCCTCAGACCACCCCGTGTTTGGGGGGATGGGTCTTGGGGGACATCACAAGGACACTAGGGAGCACACTGCCTCTGCTCCAGCTCCACCATCTGCTCTTTTTGTGCTTTTTCGGTTGCTGAGCTTCAGTTTCAGAGAGACAGTGGCCCAGCGGCCCAGTGGGCTGGGTCCTGTTTTCACCGCCCAAGCAGCTGTGCCCAGCTGCCTCTCTCTAGCTGGAGACTGCTGTTGCCGGGCTCTGCCCCCACCCCTTGGGGACCCCCTCAATCTGCACCTGTAGCTCAGGGATGAATGGGGGACAGAGGAGAGATGCTGCCCTCAGCCCCTGCCTGCAGATTTGGAAGGAGGAGCAGGCTTGTTACCCTAAGCTTGTCAGTACTTTCTGAAGCCCAGTGTGCACCCAAGGAGCTGAACCTCTGCTGCAGGAATCAGCACAACCTGTTTTTGCAAATGTTTAATTGGAGCATAGCCACACCCACTCATTTACATATTGTCTCACCCACAGAGCTGAGCAGTAGAGACTGAGATCAAAAGGCAAAGCCTAACGTATTTACTCCCGGGCCCTTTATAAATTAGAGTTTGCTGACTGGCGCCTGCTCTAGATTTAGGAAGTCCTCCCTCCAGAGGCTAAAAGAGGGGTTTTTCTTCTGTTTGGGAGCCCCATGGAGTAGATTTTGTGGGAGGGGGACAGTTCTAATTTCAGTGTTCTGTCCCCTTTATTCATTCATTTTACAAATGTTCATTCTACTAATACATGCCACTCGTTGAGGGCTAAATTTGTGCTGGCACTTGTTTAAGTACGTTGCTTGCATGTATATTTAGTCCTCCCAACAGCCCTCTGAGGTGAGTGCTGTTGTTAGCATCCCCATTCTACTTGTGGGAAACTGAGGCACAGAGAACCTAAATGACTCATCCTGGGGTGAGCCAGGATTATGTATGCAGGGCCCGTCTAACACTCTTAACCACTATGCTACCCTGCCCACAGCAGAAACCCAGGGGTTAATAAGACCCTGCTGCTCACAGCCTAACATTTGTTCCTCTGAGTGTGCTTGAGCTCGGTGGGTGTAGTCCCAGCTTCTGGTTTGAGGAATTTGATGGGTGCCCTCACCACCTAAAGGACATCAGGGCGGAGCCTGGGAGATAGAGGCCACTCATTGGCCCTCTGCGAGTTCTTCTACCCTCCAGTTCTGCTTCCTCCCCTCTAACAAGGGGCTTCTGTTTTTCCTGCATCTAGGGGTGTGGGGGTCCAAGGAGAGAGAGAGAATGAAGACACTTTGAGCACAAGAGGCACTACTGTTAACTCCCCATCTGCTGAGGTCTCCCCATCTCCCCTGCTCATGGCTGCCTGCTCCCCTTCCCCACACTGCAGTTTTTGCAGGTGTGATAAGGTTAAAGTGAATGTCAAGGACAGCCAGGAGGGAAGGAAGTAGAGGACCAGCAGATATCGAGCACCTGCTGTGTGCCAGGATGGACCATGTGCTCAGTGCACAAGGTCATATGACCCAATTCACATGCAAGAGGACAAAGGCGAGTTTGAGTACCTTGCCCAACCTCACCCACTGGGATTCAAACTTCAGATCTGAGTGGCCCGGAAACCCATGCCCTCTCCAAGATGGGGGTGTGGAGGGGCAGCCTGAGAAGCCTGTGGGGTATGTAGGAGACAGACGGGACTCTGGTGATGGCTCGAGTCTCTGGGCTAATTCTTGGTAGGCTGACTCAGGGCTCTCGTTGCCCCCCTGGGACCTGAGTCACCATTCCCAGAGCGGGCGGCGGCTCCTTCTCTTTTAGCTGGTCCCACACTTCATCAGAGTGGGACTGTTTCCTCCCCTGTCTGCATTCTGCACACAAACGCTCCATGTGTGTGTGTGTGTGTGTGTGGGTGGTGGTGGTGGTGGTGGTGGTGGTGGTGCCAGCAGTAGCAGAAGCACTCCAGGAAAGCCCAAGTAATTTCCGTTACTTTTCTCTTCCTGTCACTCTGCTCCCCTCCTTTCAAACTTTTTTCCTCTTGAAGCACAAACTTCAGCTCTTAAAACCAGGATACTGACTCTTCTCCTGCACCCCCTCCAGCACCTCCCAAATAAGGAGGAATGGAAATTGAATCATCATTTTTTTCCAAGCAATCAGTCCAAACATTTGAAAGCCTGCGTGTAAGCAGCAGTCTCCAGGACACGTGACAACAACTCAGCCCTTCTCTTGGTTTCCTGGCACTATATCCAGCCCAGAGGTGGCCCCAGAATGTGACAGATCAACTTCTGCATGCCCAGCTGGGCTTTAAATAACTTCTTCACACCTCTCCCCTTAATAGTAGCTAATATTTATTTATTGCATGCCACACAGAACGGTGCGAAGAGGGAAGAAAGGAGAGGTGAAGTACTTGCCCAAAGTCACGAGGCTAACAGGTGGTTTTGCCAGCAAACCTAGTGCTAAACTGGCTCTGTGGGAGCCTATCCCTACATTGTAGGTTTTAGTGACATCCCTGGCCTCCACCCATTAGATGCCAGGAGTTTCCCCCACCCCCAGTGTGACAGCCAAAAAATGTCTCCAGACATTGACAGATGTCTGGGGTGGGAGTGAGGGGCAGAACACTATCTTAGCATGAAGTGTGAGAAGCAGAGTCAGGAGGTAATTGAGACCCAGATACCTGACATCAGATCTCTGCCAGGTCAGCTCTGAAAAGTCCTTTAAAGGGATCCAGGGTCATTTCCTGCTGGTTAAATTCACCCCCACTTGCCTGGGCTCTTGGGGTTTAGGAAGAGAGAGAGAAACCCTTCCCAGTGTTCAGAGCAGTCAGGGCCCAGTTGTGGGGGTGGGGCTAAGGTACGAAGACCCAGAGACAAGCCCAGCAGTCAGTTTCACAGCCAACCTCAGAGCCCAGTGTGTGCCAGGCACCCCGCCTGGCTCTCGGCGTTGGAGCCGGGAACAGGACATGGGCCCCTCCTTATGGAACTTATACCCCAGTGGGTGCCAACATTGAAGGAGCCAGATATAGACTTCAGACCATGCTCTGTGCTGGGGAGGGAAAGAAGGCAGAGGTGGGGGTGCTGCCGAGACAGGGCGGACCCCAAGGAGACAGTCCTCCTGAGGGGCCAGGTGCAGTGGAGCTAGGAGCTAAGGTGCTGCTTGGGCGTCAGAAGAGGTTCCTTAGGACCAAAGGAACAGGGACAGATAGTGGGACCTGCTTCTTGGTTGGAGGAATCTGAGAGCCAGAGCTCATTCCCATGCGAGCCTGGGATGGATCCAGCCTCCAGAGGGACTGGAGGAGCCCCTGCTGAGAATGGGGTGCTGCGCCCCTGGGAGCCAAATGGCCACAAGCAGTGCCTGTACTAGGATCCAGCCTTGTCCCTCCAGTTGAGGATTTGACATAATTTGAAGGGTGTGGTGTTCTCCACTGTGCAAAGTGGGTGGCACTTGCTTGAGCTGCAGAAAGCACTTCTTTTATTCTGAGCTTTGGTGAAACCTAGGCCTGCTTCATGTTGGCTAAGTCTGAAACCGCTGTCGGGTTACTCATTTAGTGTGTCTGAGGGACATTCATTTTTTCCAGGGGTCTTGCCCTATTGATCCAGCAGTTAATTCCCCCAGATGACTCCTGCCCCTTGCACTATGGCTGATGACAGGGTTCCT